TTCTGTCCTCATCCGTTTTGAAGTGAGGCCTCCCGAGCTGCACATATCCTCCAGGCCTTAACATCTGTCTGGCACCCTCCCCCCAATGACTGAATGCCAGCACTGCCATCTTGTTTTTAAAATCTTTTGAAATGTTTAAATGCTTGACTCTTCTAAATATTGAGTTTTTATGGTTTTAACATACATTACATTGTACTGAATTAAATTGTGAACAGCACTGAGCCCCATGCAAGCGGGGAAGGGCGGGCAAAAAAAAATCTAATAAATAGATAAAATAAAAAAATCATCCTCGTCTCCCTCTTCTCCACTGGCTCCGTTCTGTCCTCATCCGTTTTGAAGTGAGGCCTCCCGAGCTGCACATAGTACTCTAGGTGCGGCCTGACCAATGCAGCGTACAGCCGGACTGTGACATCTTGAAATTTGGACGTTATGCCTCTGATACATCCCAAGACTGCATTAGCCTTTTTTGCCGCTGCGTCACACTGACTGCTCATATTTAGCTTACAGTCTACCCGTGCCCCGAGATCTTGTTCACACACACAGCTGCCCAGAAGTGTGTCCCCCATCCAGTATCGCCATGCTTATTACCCAGATGTAAGATACTGGCCGAAGAGCTTTGCTTCTCTCCTCCCACTCTTTGCTTTGGTTTTAACATCTAGCCTGACAGAGAGTTGTGGGGAACACTGGAGCTTCCCCACCTGAGCTGTGGATTTGGTGGGCCTTCATAAAAAGCATCACGAAGGGCTCTTTGTGAATGTTGCTTGTAGACAAAAACAGCTGCTTGCTTACTTGCTTTGATCAGTTGCACCCAGTATCGAAAATGGTTTGTACGTTACTGGGTTTGTAAAAATAAAACCCTGCAGAATCTTCCTCGTCTCCCTCTTCTCCACTGGCTCCGTTCTGTCCTCATCCGTTTTGAAGTGAGGCCTCCCGAGCTGCACATAGTACTCTAGGTGCGGCCTGACCAATGCAGCGTACAGCCGGACTGTGACATCTTGAAATTTGGACGTTATGCCTCTGATACATCCCAAGACTGCATTAGCCTTTTTTGCCGCTGCATCACACTGACTGCTCAACAGTCTACCCGTGCCCCGAGATCTTGTTCACACACACAGCTGCCCAGAAGTGTGTCCCCCATCCAGTATCGCCATGCTTATTACCCAGATGTAAGATACTGGCCGAAGAGCTTTGCTTCTCTCCTCCCACTCTTTGCTTTGGTTTTAACATCTAGCCTGACAGAGAGTTGTGGGGAACACTGGAGCTTCCCCACCTGAGCTGTGGATTTGGTGGGCCTTCATAAAAAGCATCACGAAGGGCTCTTTGTGAATGTTGCTTGTAGACAAAAACAGCTGCTTGCTTACTTGCTTTGATCAGTTGCACCCAGTATCGAAAATGGTTTGTACGTTACTGGGTTTGTAAAAATAAAACCCTGCAGAATCTCAGTACTGGCATTTCTTGGATGGCGATCTCGGTTCTGCGCATTTCTCTTGCACTGGAGGAAGGAATCGATCACTAAAATTATGTTGGAAGAAGAAGAGGAGATTGGATTTATCACACACACAGCTGCCCAGAAGTGTGTCCCCCATCCAGTATTGCCATGCTTATTACCCAGATGTAAGAACCTGGCCGAAAAGCTTTGCTTCTCTCCTCCTACTCTTTGCTTTGGTTTTAACATACAGCCTGACAAAGAGTTGTGGGGAACACTGGAACTTCCCCACCTGAGCTGTAGATTTGGTGGGCCTTCAGAAAAAGCATCACGAAGGGCTCTTTGTGAATGTTGCTTGTAGACAAAAACAGCTGCTTGCTTACTTGCTTTAATCAGTTGCACCCACTATCGAAAATGGTTTGTACGTTACTGGGTTTGTAACAATAAAACCCCGCAGAATCTCAGTACTGGCATTTCTTGGATGGCGATCTCGGTTCTGCGCATTTCTCTTGCACTGGAGGAAGGAATCGATCACTAAAATTATGTTGGAAGAAGAAGAGGAGATTGGATTTATACCCCGCCCTTCACTCGGAGTCTAAGAGCGGCTTACAAACTCCTTTTCAATCCCCCTCCCCACAACAGACACCCGGTGAGGTAGGTGGGGCTGAGAGAGCTCTCTTGAGAGAACAGCTGTGCCAGAACTGTGGCTTGCCCAAGGTCATCCAGCAGCTACAAGTGGAGAAGCGGGGAATCAAACCCAGCTCTCCCAGATTAGAGTCCACGCACTGGCACGTGCCAGTCGAAGTGAGTGGTCAGTTTATTTCGACCGTGCTTTGAATTTCTGTGGCGAATTAAAATAGCCCCAGACGCTTAGCCACTTAAACTGCGGTGCTAAAAGGCACCTCGATACAGAGAGCTTTATTTTGAATCCCGTTATGGCAGCCTTGTCACGTTAGGTGTTTTAAGGCCTTTCAGTTGGACTTATTATCTGCTTTGGAGCTGAAGGGAAACGACTTGGAAGGCAAGCCTGTGATTGTCTGGGTGCTCACTCGTCCCCGTGGGTTGATGCTGCAGTTGTCCGGTGGTCCTCTACCTGGGAAGCTCCAGGTGGATCAGCCAGACTGGGGCCATGGGCCGGAGGCAGCCCAAGTCACATTCTTCCAGTTTCTATCAGCCACGCTTCCATCTTCTGTGAAATGCAAGTCCATATATATTTTAAATCTTTGTTTTAAGCTTGCATTGGTTTTTTGAAATTCTGCTTCTGCCCTGCACGTTTCTGTCGTGTGAATCAGCTCATGGTTTTATGTTCTTATTTATTTATTTATTATGTTTTTATCCCGCCCTCCCTCCGCTCAGGGCGGCTAACAAACAAGGGCGCACCATGTGACCCTTGTTGTTGTGTTGTAACTTGTTGGCGGGCACACGAGACACGGGGCCTTTTTGGTGGCAGCCCCAGGATTATGGAACGACCTCCCCAGGGAGGTATGTCCGCCCCTCCTCAACTTTCAATCTGTAGGAGGCAGAAGATAAGTTTTCTTTTGGACTGCATTGGGGTAAAGCAGTCCTGAATTGTGATTTCAGGGTTTTGGTTTGACGTGTTCTTATATCCTCTTATGTTATCAATATCACATGTCCTCTTATTTATATCGAACTCTGTAAGGAAGGAAGGTATCTAATAAGGCAGGGTATTTAAATAGAGGGCATAAAATGAAGCATGGGAGGACAGTGGAGTGGTTTCCTATGTAAACTCTGTCTCTGAGTTCGTTCCTTCTCAAAAACACTGTTCCCCTTTGAGTAGCCTTTGGTCTCTGTGACACTTTGTCTGTGTGTGGGGCTTCGGGTTTCCCCCTTGCCTCTGAGATGAGTTGGGTGCCTCCCAGCGCTCCCTCTAAGCTGTGGAGTCTAGTGAGCAAAAATTCTACTTTGTGAAAAAGTAGAGATTGGATTCATACCCTGCCCTTCACTACCCAAAGGAGTCTCAGAGCGGCTCACAATCTCCTTTCCCTTCACCTCCCCACAACAGACACCCTGTGTGGTAGGAGGGGCCGAGAGAGCTCTTTCGAGGACTGCCCCTGAAGGAACAGCTCTGAGAGAACTTGTGACTGACCCAAGGTCACCCCAGCAGCTGCACGTGGAGGAGTGGGCAATCAAGCCCTGTTCTCCCAGATTAGAGTCCGCGCACTTAACCACTACGCCAAACTGGCTCTCTCACTGGTGTTAAAATTGTGAGCGAGCGATTTGGCTGCTGCATAAATCCGTTTGCCCTGGAGGTTAAGAAACTGTGAGCTAGCTCACACTAACTCAGCTTAGAGGGAACACTGGTGCCTCCTCTTGACCTGAAGCGCCTGGTCACCGTGGGTGCGACTTCTGGGTTTCATAAGGCAGAGTCACACGTCTCTCGTAAGAGTGTTCCACTTGAGAATCCCCCCACATACACCATAATCACCCGAGCGCACATGTTTATCCCCTGGATTAAATGCCACTCCAGTCCAAAGTCTCCTCCCCCGTTTCCTGTGGTCCACAGTGTCTCGGCTGTCACAGTACGACAACCCCCTCCCCCCCCTTCCGCATGCCCCACCCGCCCCACCCGTCTTTCCTAAGCGAAGGGAA